CTACTAGCCCTCCATCCACCACCACGAGCCCCACTAGCCCTCCATCCACCACCACCACCACCACCACAACAACTACGACCACCACGACCTCTGCAGACACCACCACCACTTCCCTGCCGCCAGGTGAGTGTCCTTCCCCAGTTCTTTTCTCCAGTTACATCCCCAGTTCCTGAATTCTCACCCTATCCCAGACTAGCTTCACTGGGAAAGTTTCACTTACCCTTCTTGGGGTCTGGGTCATGCCCTAGCACCCAATTCTGGCACCTTTTTCAGGGAATTGCCAGAATGGGGGCACCTGGGATGGCATCAAGTGCATCTGCCCTGCCGAGTACTATGGCACCAAGTGTGAGATCCCCATCTGCCAGAATGGGGGCACCTGGGATGGCGGAGTTTGCCACTGCCTCCCCAACTTCCAGGGCTTAGAGTGCGAGTCGGTCAAGGAGACCATCGAGATCAAAGATGGTAGGGAACCATCCTGGTTGTGCCAAGCCATGATGGAGCTTCTATGTGGGGCCCTGACCTGGGAATGGGATTGGGGCCACTATGGATGGACTGATTCAGGTTTGGGGCTAATGCTGAGGGACTGACGGAATGGGGCTGGGTTTGCTGTGGAGGGACTGACTTGGGGATGGTTTGGGGGGGTCAGTGTGGGTGGACTGACCCGGGAATGGGACCAGGATCACTGTAGAGGGACCAGTCCAGGACTGGGACCAGGGCCACCACAGAAGGACCAGCTGGGGCTGGGACCAGGGCAACCATGGAGGTGTCAACCCAAACCCAGGATGGGTTACCAGTGCTGAGGTGGCCACAGAGGGACCGACCTGGGAACAGGACTGGGGGGTGTCGCAGAAGGACTGACCTGGGACCAGGGCCACTATGGAGGGGCTGATCCTGGAGTGGGATGGGTCCCTGGACAAGGGACGCCAGAGGTGGGACAGCCCCCCCCAGAGCAGTGGACCAGCACTCACAGGTCTCTTTCTGGCTTGGCGAAGTGGTGGTGAACGCGACAGTGGACATGAAGGCAAAGGTCGAGAACAGGAATTTCACAGCCGAGCTCAAAAATAAGTCCTCCCAGGCTTTCCAGGACTTCGAGAAGAAATTCAAGCAGCAGGTCAGAGTGTAGCAATGCCACAGTGGCTGGGGGCGTCCCCACGCTGGGGCAGCACCCGCCGAAGGGGCATTCAGGGTGAGACAGGGCTGGCACTCAGCTCTCCCTATGGTCTCTCTTTGCCTTTCTAGATGGATGAGCTTTACCAGAACATAAAGGGCTACCGAGGTGTGGAGATCCACAGCCTGAGGTGAGTGTCCTCGAGGGGCCAGGTGGCATGTCCTAATATGGCCCCAACCCCTGCCTTGGCTCTGGCAAGGCGATTTGGGGTGAAGGCACCTTGGGGGAGATTTGGGGTGATGCTCTCCAAGGACGGCATATCCCCACCTCTCTGAGTTGTGTCCTGTCCCCAGGCTCCTCCAAGGACAGTCCAGCCCCAGCTCAGTGCCATGGTGGACACGCTGTCCCCCTGCAATGGGGAACCCAACCTGGTCGCAGTCTCAAGCTGAGGTCCCCCCAATGTGGGGCACTAGAGGGGGTATCCCTCCCTTCATCCTGTTGCCTGATACAGCCCACTGTGGGGTCGCTGCAAGGGTGTCCCTTAGGGGTGATGCATCCTCCACCAGGACACCTGGGTCCATCCCAGTCTGGAGTGGTGCGGGGCAGTCACAGTCCAGCTCTGTCAAGCCACAGGTGCCCTTTCTCCCTGCAGCAATGGCAGCATCGTTGTGAACTACACGGTCCTCCTGGAGGTGCCTGCCACCACCTTGGTCAACAGCACTGTCCAGAGCATCTCTGAAGAGCTTGTTACTGCCATCAACAGCTACAACAACTGCTGCCAGAGCAACTCCTCATGTGAGTGATGCTGGTGGACCTTGGGGACTGCTTCTGCCTGCTGTGTGACACCAGCATGCTTGGGGGCTCCTATGTGCTGAGCCAGGGCCTTGCTGGGGGTGAGAAGGCTCCTAGGAGAGGGGCTGTGGGTCCTCGGGCTGAGCCTGGATGGCTCATCAGCTGTTGCTCTCTCTGCCCCAGGTAGTTTCTGTTTCAACTCCAACTTCACCAATGTCACCAGCTACAAGACTGATGACGTTAACACAGGTAAGTTACCTCATGCCCGTGGGTCCCCCAGCCTGGACTAGCAGCAGCCCCAAACTGTTCCTGCCTCCCCCATCCTCTGCTCATTTGTCCCCTCCCTGTGCTCCTAGGTCCTCAACCCCATGCCCATGCATCCCCCATCCCGTGCCCTCCATCCCCATCCCCATGGGTCCCCAGCCCCATGCGCACCTATCCCACCCCCCTCAGTTCCTGAGCCATGCCTTTGCCTTCATCAGACCTGTGCATTGGCCAAGTCCCGGAGGCGTTCCAGGAATACTATTCCCCTGCTGTCACAAAAGTGGGTGTCCTCTGCGTCACCAGATGTGACAAGAGATCTGCCGATCCCTATACCTGCACCTACGGCACATGCGTCGTGAAGCACAGGGGACCCCTGTGCGAGTAAGTACTCCACATTGCCTGCCTCCCTGCTGATGCCCCCTGGGTTTTGGGGACACTGTGCCACCTGAGGGTGAGGATGGCTCCTCTCTCACTGCCCCGGCTCCCTTCCAGGTGCTCGGACAAAGCAGCATTTTGGTACCTCGACAATGCCTGTGCCTCACGCATCAGCAAGGTGGGGGTGGCTGTAGGGGTGCCCGTGGCTGTGCTGACTGTCGTGGCTGCTGTCTTCACCATCTTCCTACTCAGGGCCCAGAGGGAGAACTTGGAGTACAGGCAAGTGCAGGGTGGGGAGTGTGGGAAGGGGCCCGGACGCCTGGGTCCCGTGGAAGGGAGACCCAAGCCCAGCTCTGAGCTCTGTCCATCCTGGTGCATAGGGAGAAGTTGTCATCCCGCTCTGAGCTGTATGACGATGACGAGAACTGGAGCAGCTCCCAGGGCTTCACCACCAGCAACCAAGCGGCCAATTGGGAAGGTGAAACGGCACCAAGTCAAGGCGGGGGGAGGGGGATGGGTTGAGTGGCACCAAGCCAAAGGGGCTTGGCGAAGGGGGCTGCAGCGTTTGCCCCCTCTGGGGAGCCACTGGAGTCTGGCAAACCCAGCCGGGAGCATGCACAGCCCTTGATCCTGTCTCTCCTCCTGCCTCGCAGGCTCAGAAACTCCCAACGTCTGCGTCAGTCTGGAGAACGTGGACACCTCACAGGCGGTGAGTCCTGTATCTCCGGTACCCCGCCTCGGGTGCCTGCACACCTCCTGCCCCACGCAGGGATCCCTGACCTCACGGCCTCCTCTTCCTCCCCAGCTCCACATCCAGCGGCCCTCCAGCATCATCCCCTGAGTGGAGCCCGGGTGGCACTTAGCACCCGTGATTGGGGTGAGCACCCCCAATCTCTCCTCTGGCAAGCGTGGAGCTGAGCCCAAGGGCCGGATCCTGGGGAAAAATGAACTGTTTTCTTCCTCCAAGCCCAGCTTAGTGCTGGCAGGTCAGGACAATGCTGCTGTTTCCATGTGAAAGGAGTGCCAAACTCAGCCCCAGCCTGGGGCACCCTTTGCACTGTTGTTTGAAGGCACCTGGCTTCCTGGCAGCCTGCTGCTCTTTCACCTCTGTGTTTTGTATAAGAATAAAATGCTAACACTATTGTCATCCACCTGCTACTGCATGCCTTGCAGAATGCCAGCTTGGCCCTGCCTGAGGAGGAACAGCGGAGGGTTTGCAAAGGCCGAGGGTGTTTTCCTGGCATGCTGGGCTCACCCTCTTTGTAGTCAGAAAGATGTGGCTGGTACGTGTCACCTCCCTTTGCTACCGTGGCTGGGCTGTGCCCGGAGCTGGTATCAACACAGTTTCAGCCGAGCTGGTTTTCCCACCCCTGGAGGTGACTGCACTGTTTCCCTGTTGGAGGGAGAGACTCATGACATGCACGAGTGGGAGGGCATGCAGCAGCCTCATGGTGACAGCGACGCCAGAGCCTGTTGCAGACCCTGTCCCGTGCAACACACCTGCCTGGGGTGCTACTGTGTGCTGGCAGGGCAACCTTTCAAGCACCTTGAAATAGCCTGGGTGGGGAAAGTAAGGTGTCTGGAGCATGCCAGGAACACTTTTACTGCTGGGGAGAGCAATTAAGCCATGCTAACAGGGCACCCCAAAGGCACAAGTCCAATGTGTGACACACACACCCAAAGAGGCCCATCCTGGCTGCGTCTTCTGTGCAGCAACAGCCCTTCCCTGGGGCAAGTGTGGATCTAGCACTCTCCAGGCCCATCCCCTTTCCACCTTCCTCTCGGCCTCTTGCAGCCTTTCTTCCTCAAATCTCTGCGAGGAGGTCACGAAGAGGAATGGGGGCAAAGGGCTGCTCCCCATTGCAAGAGGGGATTTGCAATGGTGACAGCATCCACGCATGCCGAGGAGGAAGATCCTTGCTGCTCGGGGGGTGTGTGTGGGGGGTGACGTGCAAGGAAGGAGACAGGACCTGGGCTCACCCCGGGAACCCCTCAGTGTTGTGGCAAAAAAAAAAAACCCTAAAAAACATCTTTGCACCTCACTTCTACATGAGCGGCAAAGGGGGGGTCCTTAGAGATGGTCACCCTCTCCGAAATAGGCACCGTTCCCAGCCCAGGATGCTGCACAGGGGCAAGGAGCAGCATGTGATAGCTTGCTGACGCAGGCCCCGGTGCCCGGGGAGATGCCTCCTGACCTATTCTGGGATGGTTTGCACCTTTCCCCCATGCAATGTGCTAAAATTAGAAACTCATCTGCCTTATCTAGGTGTTAAAAGCAGGCATGGCCTCTCTGTGACCTGCAGGAGGAGAGGAAGGTGCAATGCAAGGCACGATCGGTGCCAGCAGCTTCTCTTTCCTGGGGAAGCAATGTCCAAGTACCTGTGAAAATAGCCTAGGAGGCGGGTTCCCACAGGCTCATCCCTCCGTGGCAACCCAGAGTCATTTGGGGATGGAACGTGTAGGGGGTGGCACTTAGCACCCGTGATTGGGGTGAGCACCCCCAATCTCTCCTCTGGCAAGCGTGGAGCTGAGCCCAAGGGCCGGATCCTGGGGAAAAATGAACTGTTTTCTTCCTCCAAGCCCAGCTTAGTGCTGGCAGGTCAGGACAATGCTGCTGTTTCCATGTGAAAGGAGTGCCAAACTCAGCCCCAGCCTGGGGCACCCTTTGCACTGTTGTTTGAAGGCACCTGGCTTCCTGGCAGCCTGCTGCTCTTTCACCTCTGTGTTTTGTATAAGAATAAAATGCTAACACTATTGTCATCCACCTGCTACTGCATGCCTTGCAGAATGCCAGCTTGGCCCTGCCTGAGGAGGAACAGCGGAGGGTTTGCAAAGGCCGAGGGTGTTTTCCTGGCATGCTGGGCTCACCCTCTTTGTAGTCAGAAAGATGTGGCTGGTACGTGTCACCTCCCTTTGCTGCTGTGGCTGGGCTGTGCCCGGAGCTGGTATCAACACAGTTTCAGCCGAGCTGGTTTTCCCACCCCTGGAGGTGACTGCACTGTTTCCCTGTTGGAGGGAGAGACTCATGACATGCACGAGTGGGAGGGCATGCAGCAGCCTCATGGTGACAGCGACGCCAGAGCCTGTTGCAGACCCTGTCCCGTGCAACACACCTGCCTGGGGTGCTACTGTGTGCTGGCAGGGCAACCTTTCAAGCACCTTGAAATAGCCTGGGTGGGGAAAGTAAGGTGTCTGGAGCATGCCAGGAACACTTTTACTGCTGGGGAGAGCAATTAAGCCATGCTAACAGGGCACCCCAAAGGCACAAGTCCAATGTGTGACACACACACCCAAAGAGGCCCATCCTGGCTGCGTCTTCTGTGCAGCAACAGCCCTTCCCTGGGGCAAGTGTGGATCTAGCACTCTCCAGGCCCATCCCCTTTCCACCTTCCTCTCGGCCTCTTGCAGCCTTTCTTCCTCAAATCTCTGCGAGGAGGTCACGAAGAGGAATGGGGGCAAAGGGCTGCTCCCCATTGCAAGAGGGGATTTGCAATGGTGACAGCATCCACGCATGCCGAGGAGGAAGATCCTTGCTGCTCGGGGGGTGTGTGTGGGGGGTGACGTGCAAGGAAGGAGACAGGACCTGGGCTCACCCCGGGAACCCCTCAGTGTTGTGGCAAAAAAAAAAAACCCTAAAAAACATCTTTGCACCTCACTTCTACATGAGCGGCAAAGGGGGGGTCCTTAGAGATGGTCACCCTCTCCGAAATAGGCACCGTTCCCAGCCCAGGATGCTGCACAGGGGCAAGGAGCAGCATGTGATAGCTTGCTGACGCAGGCCCCGGTGCCCGGGGAGATGCCTCCTGACCTATTCTGGGATGGTTTGCACCTTTCCCCCATGCAATGTGCTAAAATTAGAAACTCATCTGCCTTATCTAGGTGTTAAAAGCAGGCATGGCCTCTCTGTGACCTGCAGGAGGAGAGGAAGGTGCAATGCAAGGCACGATCGGTGCCAGCAGCTTCTCTTTCCTGGGGAAGCAATGTCCAAGTACCTGTGAAAATAGCCTAGGAGGCGGGTTCCCACGGGCTCATCCCTCCGTGGCAACCTCCTACACTGGGATTGGGGGTGGGGGGGGGGGGGGGTACCACAGGCAGCTGGATGATAGTGCTGGGGAGGCAGTGGGGGAGAAAGGCAATCTGGGGGGAAGGGGTCCCAAGCACCCGACATTTCATTTGGGGAATGGGGGAAAACCTTCCCAGAGGGATCTGGAGCTGGCTGTATACTATAGGAAATCGTCATGTCCCCGTGTCCCACCAGATCCAATGGCACCCTGGAGCCCCCCCTCCTCGCTCCTGGCACAGCCAGGAGTCTGGCTCCACCATCAGGCACGGGATGTGGCAGCACTCGGTCCAAAACAATCAAAAAAGGGGATGGGAGAAGAGGTGCTAGATGAGGAACGCCAAACGCAAACTCAACCCTTGCCACAAGCGGATGTAACTGTGCATTGTCTTCCAACAGTCCTATCTTTGTTCCTGGGGCTCTCGTTCTACAGAAAGGGGACGTTCTGCCCAAACTGACCCCACATTTTACATTTTGGTGTGGGGGTGCTCTATCCTGGATGCTCCCACACCACCAAACCTTCAGGTTTGGAGGGCTTCCAGATAATATTGGACACAAAGTCCCCGCAGCCACCCCACCCCCTCCGCCCAACTCCCTGCCCAGTTTCCTGAGGAAGGGCTGGAAAAGATGTCAAGAGCTGTCACCTGCTGGCACGGCGGATGGTAGATGGAGCTAGAGAGCCTGAGTTTTCCTCCTGACCCAGCCCTCCTTTTTTTCCCAGCAGAAAATATCACCATCCCCAGCAGTGCTGATGGGAGCCAGGTTGTCCCCATCCATGGCCCTCCCAAGGTACGTAAAGGGACCCGATGCAGAGTCAAGGTCTCTCCCCACAACTCTTAGCAGCCGCAATATCTTCTCATCTCCTCCTCAGTCCAAGCTGGGGCCAGCCCAGTACAAACTAGTCCCACAAGGGCTGTTCTAGCATCTTTACTGGGAGGTAGAAGGGACCCAGCCCCAGCTGGGGTGAGGGGACAGGGCTGGGAAGGGGAAAGGATGGTGGCTCTTTCCCCCACCCTGGGACAGGGGAGGGGGCTCTGAGAAGGCCTCCTCATCCTTGAAGTGACCTCTGGGCAGGGGAGAGAGGGGGGACTGTGCAGAGTCATGACTCCAGAGGGGGGCCTAACCCCAAAAGTGCAAATGGAAGTAGGATCATGCCCTAGAAGTGTAACTAGAACTGGGGTCAACACTCCAGAAGGGCCAAAGAAAATGGGGTCATGCCCCTTGATGTGCAAGTAGGAGCAGGGTCACAACCCCAGAAGTGAGGTCAATACCCTGGAAGTGGCAATGGAAGTGGGTTCACAACCCTGGAAGTTGTGTTAAATGTTAATAACCTGGAAACACCAAAGAAGCAGAATCAACATCCCAGAATGCTGATGGAAGTTGGATCACAACTCCAGAAGTGGGGTCAATACCCCAGAAATGCCCATAAGCATGGAAATGTCATCAGAAGTGGAGTCGTGACCCTGGAAGTGGGGTCAATACCCAAAAGTATCAATAAAAACAGGCTCATAACCCCCCAAACAGCCCCCCTAACGAGGCTCGGGGCTCTCCCGCAGAGCCTGGGCAGGCCCTTGCCTGGACAGCACTGCCCAGCAATGATCGTGAGGGGAAGTGTCCAGTCAAAATGTCCTGCCATGGCTCAGAGCCGTGTGAGGACACTCTCCGGCCTCTGGATCTGGACCTGCCGAGGAGAGGGAGGGAGAGAAAATGGAGAGACCATAAGCAGGAACGGGTGCATCTCAAGTGTTCCATGCATCTTCAGGGTGGGACCCCAGGGCCTCATACTCACCGGCATTGATATGTCCACAGACTCCAGGTCAACCTGAATGTCCCCTGTGGTGGCACCTGTGGGGATGAGGGAGGAACAGGGCTCAGAGGAGATGCTCAGGGCAGGGGGTGGGTGAGCCAGCTCCCCTCCCAGCCCCACAGGGTCACTGGGGACCCTCTGCACCTTCATTCCGGAAAAAGAAGCTCCCCAGAGGGCTCCAGTCCTCATTCACGTCCTCATACCACTTCTTCATTGCTGTCAAGGCACTTGCGCTGCCAGGTGGAGGGGAAACGCACATGGAGTCACACACAGCGAGTCCTTCCCCTCCTCAAACTCACCATCTCATCCTCCACCCCCTTCCCCAAAGGGCCCAGCCTCTGCCCTGTGGGCACCTCATAGCCAAAAGAGATCCCCTTGGGGACTCCTGGAGCATCTCTGGACTTTTGTCCAGGACAAGGAACATTTTGCATCGTGCAAAAAATCTCTCACCAGACATCCCCCCAGGCTTTACAGCCAGCCTCACCTGTCAAATGATTTCGTCCTCCGGGCTCTGAAGAGGAGGCTGGTGAGGACAAAGATGACCACAACCAGGCCCACTACAGCCAAGCCCAGTCCCACCGCAATCTTGCTGATTCGGGTTTTGCAGCGGTTGTCCTGGTACCAGTAGATATTGGTCTCATGGCAGCTGTGGGGAGGAATGGGGAGATGAGCACAAGGCCAGGACCCTCAGCAGCAATCTTCCAGGCCCCCCTTTTTGGCCACTTCGGTGATCTCAGGCCCCTTTAGGAATAGGGCCCTGTTGCTACGATCCCTGCTCCAACCCTCCAGGGTTTTGGCCCGTTTCCACTCTGGGAGATGAAGGGCAGATGGAGCAGAGCATGCAAAGGGAGAATCAGAGGTGGGCATGGAGCTGTTGCTGGAGAGGCACAGGGCAGATGTAGGGGTGACACCAAGCCTGTGCCCTGGTTGGAAGCAGGTGGGATGGGAGTGATGGTTTTATTGCACCCCTTACAAGCACTGCGGGCCAGTCTGGGTGATGTGGCACTGCCCATAGTTGCAGTTGATGGTGCTGAGGGTGTTTGCCGTGCAGTTGGAGATGCAGGAAAAACCGGAGCTTGTAAGCTTGGGGAAGTAAAAGTCCTGGTAGCCCTCAGGGGTGATCTGCCGGCAGTATGCTGGAGAGGAGAGAAACCCATTGAGGAGATGTTGGTCAGCCCAAACCCCAGCTGCATTCCCCCCTCAGTGGGGCAGCCCCATTCACTTACTCTCACTGTCGAAGTAAAGTGAACCGGGATCAACTATATTAATGGTTGAACTGAAGCACAGCTCATCTAGAAAAGAAAAGGAGAACTAGCACTAGAGAGCTGCCCCACACCCTGCTTGGTGCATGGCTGCTACTGCTGTCCAGCTTCGAGGAACCCTGGTGCAGTGATGGGTGGTTCCCCACCACAGCTACACGTTGTGATGTGCATCTTTCCCCAAGGCGAAGGTGTCCTCAAGGTTTTGGCCTGGAAGCCATCCCCCATCTGCTCTCCTAGCCCTTGCAAGGACACTCACCAGTGTCCTTTGTGCAGTTCTGCTGCGCCGCCACTGCCCGTATCTCTTCCTGCAGTATCATGGAGATGTTGTGGAGTTTGTCCTGGGCTTGGGACGTCACCATCAGGGAGATGATTACGTTGTGATCTACCACAATGCTGCCAGGTCTGGAGGGAAACAAGCCATCCCTCAGCCTAGCGTTTGCCTGGCAACAAAATGACTTTTCCCCTCAATGATTTGAGAAAGCCACTGGCTGGGACTGCAGGACAGGTGTGTCCTATTGCAACTGCTCCTTCCCCCAGGGGATTGCCTCAGCCCCTCAGGAAGTGAGGCTGGTTTGTGCAGCCTTTTGGCTGTCTCCACTGCAACACCCCGTACTTCCTTCCCATATTTGGGGCCCCCAACACCTCAGCACTCACATTAAGCGCAGGACCTCGATGCCCTGGTATCCAATAACATTCTTGTAAGCGTTGTTTATCTGGAAGAGAAGAGGGCTCCAGGCTTGGTGTCACAACCTCATTCCTTTCCCCTCCTCCTGGCTTTCCCTCACCATCATGGCAAGTTCTTCCTCACCACCTTTGCCACCCCCAATACATTCCAGTGTCTCCAGCAAGGAGCACCCAGAGAAATTCCTGGTGTGTGCAGCACCTCCAGGATGCATTTGAGTGCATAACCAGTAAACCTGGATGCATTCTGCCAGGACATGCAGATGCAACCCAGGCACCTGGGGCATCCCAAGGACCTCCCCAGATAGCATCGGCCCCTTTCCCATGCCCCACCTGCTCTGTGAACTTCTGGACAAAGGCACGATATCCAGAAGAGCTGCTGTCACTGAGATCACTGGTGAACTCCCGGTTGGTGACCCGCACCGCCAGCTGCACTGTCGCATTTGTCTCTGGGGAAAGACAGAGAGAAGGGAGAATCAAACCAGAGAAGGGAGAAGAAAGAACCTCTTCCTTGCAGGAGGCACATGGGCTTCCCCATTTAACACCTACAGCTTTAGAACTTGCTGTAAAAGAGCAGGAAGGAAATTTCCTCCAGCTGTTGCAACCCACCTACAGCTTATCTAGAGGCCAGGAGCCCATCTGTTCTTCTAGTTGAAGACAGGCCCCTATGGATAGATCCTTTGTCCCCAGTACTAACTACTCATCCTTGATGCTGCCCAGACAGCTTGGTTTATACTCCTGATCTCATCAGGGTCCTAAGGACACTAGCAAACCTTAATTGCCTTGACTGGCCTCACCTGGGACCTCTATCCTCTGCTCATTGGCCTAGGAGCTGCATTTAAGCTCAGCTCATAGTACCCAAAGCTTGTCTGTGTTGTAAGTGTATCTGTCTCTAGCTCTGTATTTGGTCTGTCTCCTGGATATAAGCTGGACTTATTCTCTTGCCCTGTCTGCTGCCTAGACTCTCTGCATGGGCCCTGGCCCTGCAGGTCTTGTCTAATCTGTCATGGCCAGTAGGCCCTCTTATCACCAGCCCTGTTCTTCCCACCCCTTTGGGTGCCCTGGTTGGGGAGGGCATTGCCTGTGCCATGGTCACCCTCAGCTTGTCCTCCTTCATGAAACAACCACAGTCTTGATCCTTACTGACAGTTTTGGCCCTAGTTGAACGCAATCAAAGAAGGCTTCTTACCTGGTTCAGTATCAAAGCTGTTCTTGGCAAATGCACAGCTATCACCTGTGAAACCTGAGAGGCACTGACAAAGGCCGTTGACCCAGCTACCTCCATTCTGGCAAACCCCTGGAAAAAGCAAGCCAAGACAGTGCTGGAAAATAAAGAGAAAGAAATATTCCTATCACAGCTGGAGCAAAAGATGGGCTGGTAAATACCTGAAGTGGTGGTAGGCTGGGTGGTGGTGGTGGTCTGGGTAGTTGTGGTGGTGGTGGCAGGTGCAGGATGCTTGAAAGCAGTGGCTGTGGCTGTTTTGGTCCTGGCTGAAGAAGAAGTCTCCACAGCAGACGTAAGGTGGTCTGTGGTGGAGGCAAGGGTGGTGGCTGCAGTGATATGTGCAGTGGAGGTGTCTGTGGGGAGTAGCGAGCTATCTGGGCTGAGGGTCTCTGAGGTGGATTTTGTGATGAGTGTGGCAGAAGTGGCAGAGTTTGATGTGGCAGTGGAGGAAGTGGAGGTGCCTGTGACAAGAGCAGAGGTCCCCATGGGGTATATTGTCATGTTTTTGGTGGGAGCCTCTGTGTGGGATATTGTGGTATCCGTGATGGAAACAGTGGTTTCTGCACTGGAGGAGAAAATGGTGGGAGTAGAACTGTCTGTGGTGGATGTGGAGATCCCGGTGGTGGAGGTGATAATGGCAGATGCAGAGGTATCTCCAGTGAATGTGATTGTCTCAGTGAAGGAGCTGTGCATGGGCAATACTGTGGTATTGATGGTAGAGGTGTTGATGGTGGATATAGAGGTGTCCATGCCAGTGGTGAGGATGCCGGGTGAAGAAGTATCAGTAGTGGAGGTGATGAGGTTGAATGCAGAGGTGCTCATGGAGGAGGTGACCCTTGAGGACGCAGGGGTTACTGACACAGTTGCGAAGACAGGGGATATAGAGGTCCCTGTGGTGGGTTTGGAGGTGTCCATGATGGATGAAGAGGTGTGTGTGTGGAATAAGGTGGTGTCCATGGTGGTGGTCTTGGCTGCGGTCTTTCTGCCGTGTGTGATGGCGGTGACATTTGCTGAGGTGAGAGAGATGAGAATGGAGGCAGAGGTGCCTGTGGTGAGTTCCGAGGTGCCTGTGGTAGTGGTGGGGGTTATAGCAGCCAAGGTGGGAGAGATGGAGGTGATGAGCGTGGATGGAGAGGTGTCCGTGGTGTCCATGGATGTGTCAGTGGGGAAGAAGGTGGTGTCCATTCTGGTGGTCTCGAGTGTGGTGCTTGTGATGTGTGTGACAGCGGTGGTGGTTGTGGAAGTGGGAGAGATGAGAGTGGAGGCTGAGGTGTCCGTGGTCGGTACTAATGCAGGTGTGGTAGTGGTGAGGAGTGTAGAAGTCGAAATGGGAGAGGTGTTGGTGATGAGGAGGGTTTCAGAGGTGTGCATGGTGGTTTCCGAGGTGCCTGTGGCAGTGGTGTGGAGAGTGGGAGTCAAAGTGGGAGAGGTGTTGGTGATGAGGAGGGTTTCAGAGGTGTGCATGGTGGTTTCCGAGGTGCCTGTGGCAGTGGTGTGGAGAGTGGAAGTCGCGGTAGGAGAGATGGAAGTGATGGCGGTGGATGGAGAGAGCGCGGCGGTCTCCGTGGAGGTGTGTGTTGTTTTCATGGAGGTTTGGGAGATGGTTGGAGAGGTGTGTGTGGGGAAGAAGGTGCTGTCCATGGTGGTGGTCTGCAGTGTGGTGCTCATGTTGTTTGTGACAGCGGTGGTAGTTGTGGAAGTGGAAGAGATGAGAGTAGAGGCCGAGGTGTCCATGTTGGATTCCGAAGAAGCTGTGGTAGTGGTGAAGACAGCTGACTGTGAGGGGGCAGAGGTGTTTCTTATGAGGGTGGCTGGAGAGGGGTCCGTGGTGGATTCGGAGGCAGCTGTGGGAGTGGTGTGGGGAGTGGAAGTGGGAGAGGTGTTGGTGATGAGGGGGGCTGGAGAGGTGTCCGTGGTAGGTTCCGATGCAGCTGTGGTCGTTACGAGGAGAGTGTGAGTCGAAGTGGGAGAGGGGTTGGTGATGAGGGTGGCTGGAGAGGGGTCCGTGGTGGATTCGGAGGCAGCTGTGGGAGTGGTGTGGGGAGTGGAAGTGGGAGAGGTGTTGGTGATGAGGGGGGCTGGAGAGGTGTCCGTGGTAGGTTCCGATGCAGCTGTGGTCGTTACGAGGAGAGTGTGAGTCGAAGTGGGAGAGGGGTTGGTGATGAGGGTGGCTGGAGAGGGGTCCGTGGTGGATTCGGAGGCAGCTGTGGGAGTGGTGTGGGGAGTGGAAGTGGGAGAGGTGTTGGTGATGAGGGTGGCTGGAGAGTTGTCCGTGGTGGATTCGGTTGCAGTTCTGGTAGTGATTTTGAGAGTGGAAGTGGACGTGGGAGAGGGGTTGGTGATGAGGGTGGCTGGAGAGGGGTCCGTGGTGGATTCCGATGCAGCTGTGGTAGTGGTGTGGAGAGTGGAAGTGGAAGTGGGAGAGGTGTTGGTGATGAGGGAGGCTGGAGAGGTGTTCGTGGTGGATTCGGATGCAGCTGTGGTAGTGGTGTGGAGAGTGGAAGTGGAAGTGGGAGAGGTGTTGGTGATGAGGGAGGCTGGAGAGGTGTTCGTGGTGGATTCGGATGCAGCTGTGGTAGTGGTGTGGAGAGTGGAAGTGGAAGTGGGAGAGGTGTTGGTGATGAGGGTGGCTGGAGAGGTGTCCGTGGTGAATTCGGATGCAGCTGTGGTCGATACGATGACAGTGAGAGTAAAGGTGGGAGAGGTGTTGGTGATGAGGGTGGCTGGAGAGGTGTCCGTGGTGGATTCCGATGCAACTGTGGTAGTGGTGTGGAGAGTGTGAGTCGAAGTGGGAGAGGTGTTGGTGATGAGGGTGGCTGGAGAGGTGTCCGTGGTGGATTCCGATGCAACTGTGGTAGTGGTGTGGAGAGTGTGAGTCGAAGTGGGAGAGGTGTTGGTGATGAGGGTGGCTGGAGAGGTGTCCGTGGTGGATTCCGATGCAACTGTGGTAGTGGTGTGGAGAGTGTGAGTCGAAGTGGGAGAGGTGTTGGTGATGAGGGTGGCTGGAGAGGTGTCCGTGGTGGATTCCGATGCAACTGTGGTAGTGGTGTGGAGAGTGTGAGTCGAAGTGGGAGAGGTGTTGGTGATGAGGGTGGCTGGAGAGGTGTCCGTGGTGGATTCCGATGCAACTGTGGTAGTGGTGTGGAGAGTGTGAGTCGAAGTGGGAGAGGTGTTGGTGATGAGGGTGGCTGGAGAGGTGTCCGTGGTGGATTCGGATGCAGCTGTGGTAGTGGTGTGGAGCCTGGAAGTTGAAGTTGGAGAGGTGTTGGTGATGAGG